CATTCACATATCATTCGAACCACCAATTGACAGAGAAAAAATCTGAGTATCCTCATCTCGAAATAATCTTCTCCGGTGGAGAAAAATAGATCGTACAAAAAGTGAAAAAATACACTGTACAACTACTAATTCTTATTTCTTTTAAAATATCTCAATATAGGTTTTAACATTCATATATAGATCAAGACTTTTCAAAAAGTAACTCTTTTCATTATAATTTGATAAAGGTCATTATGCCTAAACGGCGAGGTAGTCTAAGGCGTGAAATTTCTCGAAATGCCGTCGCTAAACGATGGATGAGTGAAAAAACATCTGCATGGCAAGGAGAGATATTCGAGAAAGACCTCGAAAAGAAAATCGGCATAAAAGCTATGCAAGAAGAGAACGATGATGGTGAAGACATGATGGCGATGGTGAAAATAGATCTGAAAACTATTGGCGATCTATTTAACTTGTGCAAAAAGGAATGTGGATCGCGAAAATTGTCTGTATTGCTTTATATGCTTATGAGAAAATTAGGTCATTCGTGGCGTTCTACGGATCAAATCCTTGATAGTATTGGGGCATATCGTTGTCAAGCGGCAAACAAATGGGCAGATATGTTCTTGATGGGAGATTTCGAGATATTTGCTCATGATGGTCGAGGTGGAAAGCATTCAGATTCATTTTATGATGTTTTTCCAGAATTGGAGTCCGTAGGAAGAGCGTTTGTCGTTGATGCCTGTTCTCGTAAAGAAGCTGACTTTACTGCGACAGATTTAGCCAAATTTATTGATACCAAATACTATGAACTCACTCAAACAGTGAAAAACGATGACAAATCGATTCGATCATATGAAGCTTGTCGTATTGATTTAAGACGATGGGGAGCAAAATTTCAAGCAAACAGTCAAAGACCATATTTTGAAGGTCACGAAAGGAACGATGTAGTTGCACATCGAGAGAAATTCATTTCCTATTTTCTGAACCGAACAGACAATTATTATACGATATCAGATGGAGAAAATCCGATTTGGCAGATGCCGTCTGGAAAACCATGTATTATCATCTACCATGATGAATCAACTTTTCGAAGCGGTGATATATCACCAAAACGATGGACGATTGACGAAAGTACACCTTTCTTCAGCAAAGGTCGAGGTCGAAGTCATATGGTGTCAGATTTTCTAGTTTCTCACCCATCTGGACCATTTTTTTCTTTATCTTCAATAGAGTTTGAAGAGGCAAAGATAAAATATCCGAGTCTTTTACTGGGCATTGATTCGAAGTATGTTGGTTATTCAGCTATTGCTGGAATCAACGTCGGCGAGCATGCCTACTTTGACAACGAGGCAATTATCGAACAATTCGAAAGATTATTTCAGATGCTTCAATTCAAAGTTGCTTTCCAGGGACATGAAATCGAGATTGTTGTAGATAATGCAAGAACACATTCGGCGAAAGAGTATTCACTGAACGACTTCGGAAAAGGAATCGGAACTCGATGTCCAGTAAATACAATAGAATATGTTAATAATCAAGGAGAAAATATTAAAATTTCGTGCTATTTTTCGAAAGGACTACATAAAGGCAAGTCTAATGGATTGTTGTTGTTAGCAAAGGAGATGAAATTTATTGTTGATGACTCAATCAAGTTAGAAGATCTAAAATTGATGTTATCTAGCCATTTGGCGTTTCAAAACGCTACCAAACTTGAAAAGCTCGCTTTGAAATATCATGTAAAAATTATCTTTACTCCTAAGTTCCATTGTGAACTGAATCCGATAGAAGGTCTCTGGTGTCACATGAAGCAATACGTTCGCAAGAAGAATGATCAAACATTTTCCACCATGCTCAAGCTTATTCCAGATTCAAGGACGAATTTTTCTCAAAAGCAAATCCAACTCAAGCTAATTCGAAGATTTTGGAAGGCTCTATAAAGGGTGGTCCAGAAGTCCTGACTCGATTTGTATAATGAATTTTTCATTGTTAAAGAATATGTTTAAAAATTTGTCTCTATGGTAAAAAGATACAGCAAAAGATGCTCTACAAAACTGCCTATGATCAACACCACCCAATTCATCCAGTAAGAAAATTATTTGTTTAGAAATACATATTAAAAAAACGTGCTAATTAATTGGTGATATTCATCTTATACAGCAGATGAATTTTGAATCATTAC